CGGACGTGGTGGCTCATGCCTATAATCCTAGCACTTTGGGAGGCCAAGGAGAGTGGATCACGAGGTCAGGAGTTCAAGACCAGCCTGGCCAACATGGAGAAACCCCATCTCTACTAAAAACTCAAAATTAGCCAGGTGTGGTGGCACATGCCTGTAATCCCAGGTACTCGGGAGGCTGAGGCAGGAGAATTGCTTAAACCCCGTAGGCGGAGGTTGTGGTGAGCCAAGATCGCACCATCGCACTCCAGCCTGGGCAACAAGAGTGAAACTCCGTCCCCATCCCCTACCCCTCCCCCCCAAAAAAGGAGCATGTGATTTAAGAGGAGAGCAAGGCATATAAATAAAGGATTATAATATAATAAGAGCTACCATCGAAGATTGTGCAGTGTGAAATGTAAATCTAAGGTAAGGCTGTTAGAGAAAGTTTCTCTGAGAAAGTAACGTTTGGGCCTAGTCTTAAAGAATGAGGGGTTCAGATGTGAGGAAAGGAGATAAACATAACAAGAAAGGGAAACAACATGGGAAAAACCCGGAAGCATGCAGATACAGAAATGGGAAGTATGTGTAACGGGGAGTGTTGGAAGATGAGGCTAAAGGGAGAAGGCAGACCTGAGTGGATGCCTGAAAGGCGTTTGGAATTTAATGTGTAGCCCCAAAGCGGGAAGTCATTCGAATATTTTAGACAGAGGAAGGACATGTCCTCTCTCTCTTCTCTGTCCATGTCTTCCCTTTAGAGATTTTCCCTTTAGAGACCTTGTTTTTCCCTATTGTCACTACTACTTTCTCTGCTAATGTTTTGTACCTACTTCCCTGCCAAGCTAATTTATTTGATTAGAGTAAAATGGTCTTAGGTTGCAGTTCAGAACATCCTAAAAATCAGGAAGTTTGTGTCTCCTACCCCCGATCACAGTACATTGTGACCCTGATTGCATTTTGTTGCTTGAGAAATTGACAACAGACCATGATCATCTTATTCCACTCTTATTGTTAAAAAGAAAAAAGAATGACCCTTCGTATATAAAAAGAATTCCATATATTCTGCTAGATTGCCAAAATGAGGGTGGACATGAAAGCAACTTAATCTGTACACTTAAGACTTTCTTAATATTTTGTGTTTAACCCTTTTTAGGCTTTTCATTTTCTGGGCCTAGATTATAAATGAGCACACAAGTCTTGAAGTCAGGAGAGCTTCTTTTCTATGGAGCTGCTAAAATGCTCCTGGCAATTGTTCTTTTCATTTTTGACCCATTGCAGTGCATCCACAATTGTATGGTTGTTTGTGCAACATCATCTTAGCCAGTCTCATAATAAACCATTCTTTGGAATTTTACAAAGATGTCATTCTTGGCACCTAAACAGAGAATCATTTGTGCCTAACCAATCATTTTCCATTTATAAATCCTGTTCAATTAGAAAGTAGTTTATGAACAGCGCCCTGTTTTTTTAAATGTGATTTGAAATAGCAGGTGGCAGACTTGCATTTTCTATTACCTGGATATCTCAAGCCTTTATGCTTACTCATTGACACAGGTCTGCTAGTGAAGCCAACTGTAGAAGGTGTGGGAGGCAAGCAAGCCTGGGGGAACCCAGGGCTCATTTGGTTCATTGCTGCCACCTGCTGGGGCTTGGCTGCTGGAATGGAAAGGCTGTCCGAGAGAGCTGTAAGCCATCCTGGAGGAACCTCTGTGTAGTTCCAGTACTAATCAGCTATTATGTTTCTAGGTGACAACCTACCCATAACTGAAAGGACTTTATGAACTCTAGAGCATTGTATCAGTCAGTGTAAAGTGGCATTAGATTATGTTGGTAGCACGTAATCTCCAGCGATTATGAGACTCAGCGAACAAAGCAACACACTAAAGACTCAAAAGATCTTAGAGTATCAGAACTGGAAGAACCTTAAGCCAGATGTGGTGGAACTTTAGTATATAGTTACATGAGTCACCTAGGCACTTGTTAAAATGCAGATTCCTGGGCCTAACCCAAGAGACTTTGACTCAGTAGGCCCAAGCTCGGTCTTATTTAGCAAGCTCCCCACAAGGTTCTGATGCAGGTAGTCTAGCACCATGCTAGAGAAGAGCGCTACCTTAAATATACGGACAAGAACTTCTCAGCCATTTTTCTTATTAATGCCTCATTTCAATCAGTAAGAAAAACTACGTCTTCCATCAATGGGATGAGTCATCATCATACCGTAACTGGTTCTTTGAAGCACACGCACACAAATTATTGTTGGATTGTTTTGGTCTGCAACAACAACAAAAGAGTCGCTTTTAAATAATTATCTTGGCCGGGCGTGGTGGCTCAAGCCTGTAATCCCAGCACTTTGGGAGGGCAAAGTGGGTGGATCACCTGAGGACCGGAGTTTGAGACCAGCCTGGCCAATGTGGTGAAACCCCATCTCTACTAAAAATACAAAAAATTAACTGGGTATGGTGGCGGGCACCTGTAATCTCAGCTACTCAGGTGGCTGAGGCAGGAGAATCGCTTGAACCCGGGAGGCAAAGGTTGCATTGAGCCGAGATCATGCCACTGCACTCCAGCCTGGGCAATAAGAGCAAAACTCCGTCTCAAAATAATAGTAATTATTATTATTATCTTTCTTCTCTGAGAAGGAAATTTTGTAATTTATATTGGTCAGCTTATTGTGGAATGCTTTTTGGCCTTAAGCATTGGCAAGCAAAGGTGGAGTTTCGTATTACACTTAAATAGCGATCATTTCCATGACCATAGTAATCGCTTAGTAAATGTTTATTGAATTTTTAGGGACCTAAAACACCATACTACAGACTGTTTTCTTTGGAGAAGCCAAACACAAAGCTGCATCCCTGATAGTTTTGGGGGATGTCTTATCACTTTTTTTTTTTAGACAGAGTTTCGTTCTTACTGCCCAGGCTGGAGTGCAATGGCACAATCTCGGCTCACTGCAATTTCTGGGTTCAAGCGATTCTCCTGCCTCAGCCTCTCTAGTAGCTGGGATTACAGGTCCCTACCACCATGCCTGGCTAATTTTTGTATTTTTAGTAGAGACGAGATTTCACCATGGTAGCCAGGTTGGTCCCAAACTCCTGACCTTAGGTGATCCGCCCACCTCAGCCTCCCAAAGTGTTGGGATTACAGGCGTGAGCCACCAAGCCCAGCCTTATTATCACTTCTTATTCCCTTATCTGTGTTGGCAAGCTTGGATAAAGTACAAATAGTAGTAAATACAAATAACAGTTCTCCTTCTTACATAGGAAAAAATAAGTGGGTGGCCTAATAACAAATTTGAGAACTCATCTGAGAACTGAGAATTCTGAATACCTGTCATATGCTTTCTTGATAGAATATTCTCAAAAATGTTACTCATTTTTTATATATGTTACTGCTCCTGAAACTACTGGGTTCAATCTGTGAACTGAGTCCATTGAACTCAAGGGCAGATTACACTTGGTGTACTGTGTCACATTGAGTGAGGACCAGTAATTTTTTCGTGTATTTCATCTAGTGTTTTTTGTGGGGTTTTTTGTTGTCGTTGTTGTTTATTTTAACTTTTAAGTTGTTGGCATTCAGGACTCTCAGCCCCTTTAATGCACATGATCATATATTTAGTGCAGTTATTTAGTGCATTTAGTGCAGTTATCATCGCACATGTAGAATCAAGAGGCAGTTTATTGAACCTCCTTATAGAGAAATCTTGCTGAGCTTTTAGGATCATACTTTCTATGACTTGCATATGTGTTTCGGCATATCACCTTATTTTAAGTTTTGTTCCCTGCCTTTATAATCTCATTTGTTAGGGGTTTTGTTTTTGCTTTAGGTGTACCTGAAGGAAATCTTAAAAGAAATTGGTGTTCAGAATGTAAAAGGGATCCACAAAAACACATGGGAGCTGAAGCCAGAGTACAGACACTATCAAGGAGAAGAAAAGAGTGACTGAGAAGCCTCCTAGTCAGCATGCTAGTGAAACAGCTAGCGGCGATGCTGTGCTACAGGCGCTGATACTGGAAGGCTTGAACACCGTATGTTAATAGGGGTTAAGTGACAATACTTTCATTTCTCTCGGTAAATTTTTTAAACCTGTAATTCTTGTAAAGTTTCTTAACTGTTTTTTTGAGGAGAAGGAACAAATTTATTTATAGACTTAACTTGTATTAAACCAGATTACTCACAATAGGAATAGGGGTTGGAGGATTAAGAGGGTTTTTCTTAAATATTAGCTTTTAATGTGTACAATTAGGAAATGTTTTTTAAATGAAGACTCTCTACCCTTGGTGTATCTGAGGAGCTGAGGTAATACAGATCCAAGGAGAATTGTATAGCAAGAAAAAAACAGTCAACTACGGAAACTCTTAAAAGGAATAAAAAGCCAAAGTTCCTTATTTTGAAATTGTCAAAGAACAAAGCGGTGTTTTTCTTTTAAACAGGTGATCATGTTTCGTGTTCATACTCAACGTTAATAAAAGGAGAGCATTTAAGTTTGTAGTGAAATGGCAGTGTTCATGATTAGCTTATTTTACCATAGTGATACTGAGATGAGAAATGTGCAGAATCATGGTCAATTGATGTTTCTTTTGTTTGCTTTTAAGATAATTAAAAGTAAAATATCTTTCCAAAATTTCAAGATATGTCTCCCCCAGTCAGATTATAAACTTCTCAAAACTGGCTTGCCCCCAGAATTTTATTGCTCACCCAGCAGACATGTATTGACCAATACATGGCAAATGATACCAGCAAATCAAGAGAGTGATGTAGGGGTCCAGTCGAGACAGAAAAGGTTAGTTTCAATTCCTGGGGCATTAAAATATTGCTTTTCTCTTTCTCTTCAATTAATTTTTTAATGAAAACAATACATGTATATGTTAGTTTTTTCTAGCACAAATTATTATATATTAAGCAATCCAAAATCATACCATCAAGACCATCAAACAAAAGAAGCTTAAGTAAACTAAGCACAGGGAAAAGTTGTTTTTCACTCATTCATTTTGTCAGCTGCTCCTGGATGCTGCAACCAAGAAGTAGCAATTGCTGAAGTTGCCATAGTGTTTGCAGGAAAAAAAGAGAAAAAATAATAAAAATAAACAAGGAGCAAATGCCAAAAATTGAAGAAAATGTTATATAATTAAAGCAAGGAGATATCTATCCATTGAGAAAAGCAATTCTTATATTACTTGCTTTTAGAAGCAAAGCTTTAGAATTCTGAGATTGTTACAGCACTAAGAAGATTTTTATTCTTGTGTACACACTGGAAAATACAATTCTGAGTAAGGAGGGTGTTCCATTCCCCACCCCACCTCAAATTGTCTTATGTACAGGAACCAAATGTGGTATGCCCATTGCCTTCTAGTTCCTGATGACTGGAAGCTCGGTGTCAGGAAGCCCATGGATAATGGTCTGATAAACCTATATGGAACTGGGAATTCTGGATACCTGCCGTGTGCTTGGTTCATAGCATGGATCTTCCCCAAAACCTTTTATATATGTGGTACTTCCCTGAAACAGACCTGTGTCTCCTCTGCTGATGTCTTTTGTTTTGTGACAGTGCCTACCATATCGAATGAGGTGGCTGTGCCAGAAGAGTTTCCAGGGCAGGGCTGTGTCTTCTTTGAAACTGTGCTTTGGTTTTTTTGTAAACTGGTTTCTTCTGCTTCTTTTACCCTGTTAGCTCAGCACACCTGACTGCATGAGCTTGAGTCTCTTAAACACTTATCTCTTCAGTAGGATACGTAATTTAGGTGCTAGACTGATGCTGTTTCTGATTAAGTTTTTTAAATTGCTTTTTTTCTTTTTTTTGAGATGGAGTCTCTCTCTGTTGCCCAGGCTGGAGTGCAGTGGTGTGATCTTGGCTCACTGGCACCTCCGTCTCCCAGGTTCAAGCGATTCTTCTGCCTCAGCCTTCTAAGCAGCTGGGATTACAGGCACCCACCACCACGGCCAGCTAAATTTTGTATTTTTAGTAGAGACGGGGTTTCACCATGTTGGCCAGGCTGGTCTCGAACTCCTGACCTCAAGTGATCTACCCACCTCAGCCTCCCAGAATGCTGGGATTACAGGTGTGAGCCACCACGCCTGGCTTAAATTGCTTTCTTATTTAACATTAAAATGTGGCTGCTGGCCATGGAGAAGATTTTTCCTTCTACCCAGGTTCCCTTATTCTTTTATTTCAGGACTCTCTTACTCTGACAGACTTTTGACAAAAATCAAAAAGTAGGAATCCTAAGCCCTTATAAACTGAGAGTGAGAGGAAAACAGATAAAGGAGATGCACACCTCTGGTAAGATGTCACATCATAAGACAGGAAAGCCATTTTTTTTTTTTTTTTTTTT